TGTTGTTGTGCGTCTTCTTGTTGTAGTTATGGGTCGTCTTGTTGTTGCGAGTCTCCTTGTTGTTGTGCGTCTTCTTGTTGTAGTTATGGGTCTTCTTGTTGTTGCGAGTCTCCTTGTTGTTGTGCGTCTCCTTGTTGTTGTGCGTCTTCTTGTTGTAGTTATGGGTCTTCTTGTTGTTGTGCGTCTTCTTGTTGTAGTTATGGGTCTTCTTGTTGTTGCAAGTCTCCTTGTTGTTGTGCGTCTTCTTGTTGTAGTTATGGGTCGTCTTGTTGTTGTGCGTCTTCTTGTTGTAGTTATGGGTCTTCTTGTAGTTGTTCGTCTTCTTGTTGTAGTTCGTCTCCTTGTTGTAGTTAGGGGTCTCCTTCTTGTAGTTGTTCGTCTCCTTGTAGTAGTGCGTCTTCTGGTTGCAGTTGTGGGTCTTCTTGTCGTAGTTATGGGTCTCCTTCTTGTAGTTGTTCGTCTTCTTATTGTAGTTATGGGTCTTCTTCTTGTAGTTGTTCGTATTCTTATTGTAGTTAGGGGTCTTCTTGTTGTGATTAAGAGGCCCTTTGTTATAGTTGTTCGTCTTCTTGTTATAGTTATGAGTCTCTTGGTTGTGACTGTTGGTGTTGGTGCTGATATTGGTGTTCTTAGTGTTGGTATTATTGATGTTGCTATAGTGCTTATTGCTTGTGTTGTTGATGCTGTTGTATTTGTTGTTATCGTTGTTGTTGTGTTTTGGGATACAATCACGATCCCATTTTCACTACGATTGTGTAATTCAATACCCAAACCTAAACCTAGTGCTAAACCTATGAAAATTAGAGAAACAACAATACCAACGCCTATTACGAGTCCCAATGGTTCCCATGGGCTCCATGTTTTTCTTCCAAGGCCAGATTTATATTGTTTCATATCGTAAATATACGAACACTTACCAATCAAACGTTGTTTGTATTTGTACGCATTCTGATTTTTGCTTTTTCGTTAGTGTTTATACCTGAAATTATCAAATAATATTTTTGTTTTTCATATGATAGAAGAGAGAACGCATTATTTCTACACGTGGGAAAAATAAAATACTATAAACAGTCAGAACGATAAATACTATTATCCTCTTAATCGAATATTATTCATATAAAAATATATTTTCGATCTACGATGCATCGTAGTTCAAGGATTTTTGGAAATTTCGACTGTTTATGATTTTCACTAGGAATAAAAGAGAAGCGCCCAAGAAGTGAGGTTTGGGAATTCTCCCAATTCCTAAAAACACCAGCTAAAAGTGACAAATCCCACGAGCAACTGAGAACTGACCCTCAAACCCTCACAAAACCTTGTCACTTTCCCCTTCGATTCATCCTGATGAGTAAATCTCAATTGAATATGACACCAGTTCCCAACCTTGATAACTTTTCATTTTCTTAATTTATCCCGCGGAAATCGACCACTACCAATCCCTCAGACAAGGACCCGAAGAAATAACCACTACTGACCGTCAATATCCATCGAGGAACCTGATACTGACATTAGCCATCATCATTTAAATCCCATAGTAAGGATCCTGACCAGGAGAATTGCCAAAAACGTCCTAGAACACGCCGGGAAAATGAGGAATGATGACAGTTCTGCTGAAAATTTCTAGGAATTGAGGTAGAGACTTAGAAGGTACCTACAGCCAGCTTCCTGGCCTTTTTTGCTATCTGGGATAGCTGTTGTTTCTAATGTATATTACATCAGTTCCTCAATTTTCCGGCAAATTGAGAATAGCTACCTTATAGGTTTCTACCTCAATTCCTAGGAACTGTCAGCAGAACTATCATAATTTCTCAGTTTCCCGGCGTGTCCATTGACGTTTTTGGCAATTCTCTTGGTCAGGATCCTTACTATGGGATTTAAATGATGATGGCTAATATCAGTGTCAGGTCTCCCGATGGATATTGACGGTCAGTAGGAGTTATTTCTTCGGGTCCTTGTCTGAAGGATTGTCAGTAGTCGATTTTCACTGGAGGAATTGAGGAGATGAGAAGTTATCAAGATTGGGAACTGGTGTCATATTCAGTTGAGATTTAGTCATCAGGAGGAATCAATGGGGAACTGACAAGGTTTTGTGAGGTGTTTGAGGGTCAGTTCTCAGTTCATTGGGGAATTTGTCACTTTTAGCTGGTGCTTTTAGGAATTGGAAGAATTCCCAAATCTCACGAGGGAAGGGCACCAACTGTCCAATCGCTTTTGAGCCGAGACTATGTGCATTATGTAGACCCAAATGAGTTATGAATACCCTGAAAACAGTTCGGGCCGCTAGCTTTTTCCTACGGAGATAGTGCACTTTTACAGTATTTTTAAATAAATGCCGTGGTTTCCCTCAGGAATACAGAAACTGATTTTCGAATTTCGACTTGAAACTTTGGATAGAGGCAGACCTTAATGAGAATAGTTTGCTGTGAATATTTCAGATTTTTTCGCCCTTTCTATCCTAGGATACAGTTATGAATAACTTGTCTTTATAAACTGGCAGATTTGATGTTCTTATTTTAGGACAGAAGCAGATGAAAAAATCTTAGAAACATTCAGAATAAACTATTCTG